CCCCCCTCACTTTACAATACCCTGAAACCGACCCCCCCTTTCCTCCCTCCGCGAGTATTCGCGCCCCCCACTGCGCCCCATTAGTTATCCAAGCCCTATCATCTAGCTAATCTATCTCCTTTCAAAATACTTTTGTATCAATCTACGTTTAAAAATGATTAGTCCCTTTTCAAAATTTCTTTTTGAAATACGTTGGAAATAAGTAGTTAATTTTTTTAATATTCTCGAAATACTTCCTCTCTGAAAATTCTTTACAATTTAAAGCTTCCCTTTTTCGAAATTTCACAATCAATTTTTTTTTTTTTTTTTAAGAAATTATTTCTTTTTGAAATTACGTTTGTACTATTTTTGAAAATACGTCCCAAATAATTCGTTAGTTCCACAAAATCTTTTCGAAATACTTTAGAATTAAATCACCCTTTTCACAGATTTCTTTGAAAATCTTTTCCGTTTGAAATTTTCCTTTTGAACTTCCCTTTTGCATTAACTAATTTGTTCTTTCTCGAAATTTTGAATCTAAAAATACTTTTGAACTCATTACTTCTTTTCAAAATTTCTTTGAAATATAAGTAACTCTTTTTCTTCGAAATTTCCTTTTCTTTTTTGAAATTTCTTGAATACTTTAGCATCATCTCTTTTTGGAATACCCTTAATTTCTTTCCAAATTCCTTGGAATCCTTTTGCAACTCATAATTAGCCCTTTTCCGAAATTTTGAATCCACATTTTGAACTTTGAAATTAATTACTTATTTTTACAAAATTGTCTCAAAATTTCTTTTCTCTGCCGACATAAAAATTCACGTTCGGAATTAATCCCTGCCTTCGAAATTAATTATTATTTTCCCAAAATTTCAACGAATATTTTTAAAATTCCACCTCCTAATTCTTTTTTTATAACTTGAAGATATTCCGAAATTTCACGTAAATAAATTTAAAATAAATTCAAATTTATTATTATTATTATTATTTTTTACCATAGCTATGCCGGACCGGACACCGGACCAAATCCGGACCCTGGACCCCGGACCTCCCGGGCCCTTCCGGAGTTCCGGGAAACCGGAATATTCCGGAATATCCGGACCGACTCGGACCCCCTGTCCGGAT